AGGAATCTCTCTACATGGGAGCTCACCATGATGTCATTAATCCCGTGGAAGAGCTTTGGTCACTCGACCACGGAAAATCTATTTATAGAAATAGCATGCCACGTGACACGTTTAAATTCATTTCTTCACACATCGAAACTTACGATGTGGGCCAGCCAGATGATGTTTGTGATGATGCATCAGACACTTCAGATGATGGGGATGTCGAAGAAAAAGAGGAAGCTGACAACGGACCAGAAGGAGAGTATTTCAACTGCGCGGAATATTCAGATCGAGATTTCAGAGATCTCTCTGAAGAGCAACTCAGGAAAGATGTCAGAATCAAAAGGGGCATAGTTGGTAGTGGAGTTGTTAAAGTCGTCCCTGCAATAACTCCAAATGCACACGACAGCTTTTCTAGAATTAGAGTGATTTTAGATAAGTTTATTTTTAACCTTGTCAACCAAACCTATTACAAACCTAGTAATAGTGTTTCGGTTGACGAACATTTGTGTTCTTATAAAGGGCATATGTGGGCTAAGGTGTTTATTAAGTCTAAGCCTGGACGTTATGGTATAAAGTTTTGGGTTTGTTCTATTTTTATTAAATGAGTTTTATTTATGAAGTCAAAAATGACGGATAGTTATTATTGGTTTGACATGTATGATCAAATTTAATAATTTAATTATTTGTTTATTTGAGTATTTTATAGTTTTCTAACTCGTAGATGTGTGCTGACTGTGAGACAGGAATGACTCTAAACCTCCAAATGTACTGTGGTAAGTGTAGTGGTAAGGAGGACAATCAGGGCTTTAGAGTTGTCAGGGACATGGTGCTACCCATGTTATGCCGTGGTAACAAGTTTACCGTTGTGTGTGACAACTTCTTCTGTACGTTAAGGTTGTCACACTACCTTGCTTCATGTGGGTGCCAACTTTTGGGAACCATGAGGATTAATAGGACAGAACTTCCTGACGAAGCAAAGACCATCAAAGGGAGAACTCCCGATACCACCATCTTTTTCTCGAAAGGAAAGTGTAAGCTCATCTCTTACTTCAACGAGAAAAAGAAGCTGGTATTGGTCTTGTCAACCTGCCACGAAAAGAATGAAATTGAAGTCGTCGAGCAGGATGTGTTCATTGGCAAAGAAAAAATGACAATACACAAACCCCAGCCCATCCTTGATTAC